AAAAAAAAAAAGAAGATAGTAAAAACTGACATATGTTCCATTCAAGCATCCTCTTATAAACATGACAGGTACATCACATCAAGCATGGCTTCCAGTTCTTGGGCACTATAGTGTCACGCACTGTGTTAATGTTTTACTGATACTCCCATTTAATCCTCATAAGAACCCTTTAGAGGTCTTGTTATCCCTGTTTACAGATAAGGACTTGAGACTCGGAAAGTTTAGGATACTTTCCCCAATCATCTAGATCATGAGTTGCCGAGCTGGATTCTTCCTCAGTTTGTATGACTCCTAAGGCCACATTCATAATAGGTCTTGGTGATGATATTTAACTTGGGAAGTGGTGTTGTGAAAGTCAGACTGTCTTGGAGTCAGGAAGTGTGAATCCTGCGTTTTCTCTCCTCTACGACATTTGACAAATAACCTGGTCTCTGTGGGCCTTTATTTCTTCCTCTGTTGGACAGAGAAATAATATGTGCTCTATTGTGTGTGCGTAGGCATATTAAATGAGATCATGTGTGTGATGAGCTTAGCCCATTAGGTGCTGAAAAGTGTTGGTTCGCATTCTTTTCAATATATTGCAGCACAAAGAATGAAGTAGATTCCTTTATTAGGGGTAGAGAGGAAGGATATTGGTATACCAGAAATAGTTCATTGGTGGTAATTTGCTACGAAGATTCTTGACTAAGGCATGCAGACGTGCCCTTGAACTGGCAGTGCCATTGTAGAGGTCTCCTTTGATGATGAAAGAGATAAGGAGGGGAAAGGAAAAAAGGAAGCCTTCTGGAGGCTCAAATTCCCACTCTTCCTTAGGCATCAGCCGTAATAGCAAATGGTGGCTTTGAAATTGCTCTGACTTTTAGCTTTATTTTTATTTTTAGGACAGTTATTCTAGCAGACTACAGAGAAACCGGTATAGCACAGTGGTTGAGTATAGACAGACTGCCCAGGTTTAAATTCTAACTCTACTGCTTACCGGGTGAGTGACCTAGTACAATTTATCTTACCTCTCAAGGTCTCTTTAAAATGAAAGTAAAGGCTATCTCTTACGGTTGCTGTAAGAATTAAATGAGGTTATACAAGTGTGCTTAGCAGAGTACCTGGCAGGGATCGAAAGCTCTGTGAGTGTCCATTATGTTTTTTATTCTAATTGCATCCTAAGGAATGAGAGGTATAGGAGTGTAGGGTATGTGCATTGTGTTGCAGTTCTAGCATCCAACATAATACCACTGGAGAGCTGGCAGGTCCAGAAATGGTAGGCCAACTGGGATTACTACAGTATTTAACAGTAAACATTAGTCAACTTTTATCCATACTGAAATCTCTGTTAGGTACTGCAGATATCCTGTTACTTCATTACTTCTATTTTTTTCTTTATTTTCCTTCCTTCCTTCTTTCCTTCCTTCCTTCCTTTCTTTTCTTTCTCTCTTTCTTTCCCTCTCCCCCCCTCCCTCCCTCCCTCCTTCCTTCCTTCCTTTTTTCCTCCCTCCCTCCCTCCCTCTCTCTCTTTCTTTCTTTTGTCTTTCCATTTTTACCCCTTCTTTTCACAGGTGTTGACAAGTTACTTCTACTTTAAAAGATCAATTAAACGAAGGCCAGAGATTCTTCCAAGGCCACACAGAAAACAAAGAGAGAGCATCTCCATTCAGACCCAGGCCCCTCTGAGACCACATGCTTGTTTTCCTGCCCTGATACCCAGCTCCTCCAAGGGGCAAATGTCAGGTTCTCTATCCAAAAATGTGCCTGACTTCATTTTTTAATCAGCTCTGTTGAGCTTTAATTTACATTCAATAATAAGCTTCCATTTTAAGCATATGATTTGCTCAGTTTCGACATACGTAAATACCTGTGTTGCCACCACTAAAATCAAAACATAGATATTTTTTATCATGCCAAAAGATTTATCATGCCTGTTTGCATTCCTTCCTACCCAACCCCAAGCAACCACTGATCTGATTCCTGTCAATATAGACTCATTTAGTGTTTTCTGGACTCTTCTATAATTGTAAGCACATAGCAGGTACGTTCTTGTGCCTAAGCTCATATCTGGCTTTGGATGTTTAGAAAATCTGGCATCCTTTAGTCTAGTTCTCTTATTCTTAGATTGCAGGATGCAAACTAAGGCATTTGGAGGTAAAACCTCTGCACCATTCTGACCGAGGCAGGGACGCAGATCCACTCCCTTCAGGCCTCTGCCCTTGGGGTTTATTGATGTGATTGGACTTATTACCCTGACAGTTGAAAGCAGAGTATATGGGGCCACTGTGAGCTGGGGTCCTTCTGTGGGAGAAAATGACATCACACTCCCTAATCCTCTCACTATGCCATGAGCAACTCGGTAGCACTATTCTTTGTGTTACATTGAGATAATGCTCATAGGACCATAAAATATCCGAGCTGTTGTCCTCAAACCCAGCAGGGAATGGGAGCTGGACTCCAACTCCAAGAGCAGCAGGAGGACGTGAGGAGGGCTCTCAAGCCCTTTCTAACTTAACTTTTTCTGAGTCTCAGTTTTTTCATCTGTTAAATGGGCAGCTAGAAAACATTGTCTTTGAGCGCTTCTAACCAACCTGTTCTTATCCTTGGCTATTTTATTTCCCCTATTTTATTTTATTTTACTTTTATTGCTTATTTTTTTCTTTTTGTGGGGAGAGGGGCTCAGGGGATAGGGTCTTGCTCTGTTGCTCAGGCTGAAGTACAGTGGCATGATCCTAGCTCACTGCAGTTTCCTGGGCTCAAGCAATCCTCCTGTCTTGGCCTCCCTAGTAGCTAGGACTCTGGGTGTGCATCACCATATCTGGCTAATTTTAAATGCTTTTTGTAGAGACAAGGTCTTGCTGTATGTGTCGCATAGGATCGTTTTGAACCTGTGGCCTCAAGTGATCCTGTTACCTCAGCCTCCCAAAGTGCTGGGATTTACAGGCACTTTAGGAGGCTGAGGCAGGTGCCACCACACCTGGCCATTTCCCCTATTTTATAGAGATATGAAATAGAAAATGAAAATCTAATGAAAAATGACTGCAAAAAAAGCAGCATATATAATGCATAGAGTGCAAATAAACATATTGGCAGAATTTAATCTCATGGAGAAATTGAAATAAGGTTAGGGAAGTGAATACAGTTGTTGAATGTGGCGAATCAGATGTGATGCTGTATTTCACAGTTTCCTGGGTAAATTACACTCACCTTTTTCCCCACTGTTTTTTGCCTTTAGCTGTGTCAGCAGCGCCTGGGCCTGGGCCTCGGAGGGAATGAAATCCACAGCAGAACTCCATCAGTGAGTGCTCCCACGCTTGCCTTTCTCCAACTCCAAAGGGAGTCATAAATATTTAAAGTGGGTGTGCTACAAATATTCCACTTCAAACTTGCACTGAATAGATGTGCCGTAACGCACTATTTTATTTCCCCAGAAAGTAATTTGGAAAGTAGATGTAAACCCTCATATTATGCTCGTATGTCTTGTGTGTTTTATTTCCAGGAAACTTGGCAAAGCAATTGAATTGGAAGCAATAAAACCGACATATCAAGTCCTAAATGTACAAGAGAAGAAGAGAAAATCAGTGAGTCCAAACCTTTCTTTTCTCTTCCTATGTAAAGCAAGATTCCTGTGTTTGGCCCAAAAAGGAAAAGGCAATCTGAAAGTGGTACCAGGTTTCAAGAATTTATCCTAAAAATAAAATAAATACTTGCATTTACTTTAAAATAAATGAATAATAAAAAAAAACGCAATCCAAGATTTATGTCCAAGGATGTTTGTTAGAGCATTGTTTGTAATAGTGAAAAACTGGAAACTACTGAGTCATTCAAAATAAATTGTCATAAATTCAAGAAATAGAATACTTTGCAACCATTAAAAAGCTTATAGAAGAGTTCATCACACTGGGATTTTTTTTTCACAGTATACTGTGAAATAAAGCAGAATTTAAAAAATCTAATTGATACAATCTCAACTTCATAAAATGAATATGTATATATATGTTTAGAAAAAACTGGAAGATGCTTCTCTATATGTTAATAAGAATGATCTTTAGATTGTGAAATTAAAGGTTATTTTTATTTCATTTTAATACTTTTTACATTTTTAAAACAATTTCATCATTCTGTTTGTAAATAGAAGAATGATAAGCACAATTTTTACAAACATGTTTTCTATGCTTATCAGCTTGGTATTATGTAAAGGTGATAATGGACACAATCCTCAAAAATTCTAAAAAATACAGAAAAATAATTAAACAATCCTTTCAGGGGCACTTGATCCTCTGAGAACAGATCCTCTGCTCTTTCTCTGTGCCTTTCCTTCTACAACAGTTTCTTGCTTGCTTTCTCTCTTCTTTCCTCCCTCCTTCCCTCCCTCCCTCCCTCCTTCCTTTAGTTTTTTTTTGTTGTTTTTTTGATGGAATTTTGCTCTTGTCACCCAGGCTGGAGTACAATGGCAAGATCTTGGCTTGCTGCAACCTCCACCTCCCAGGTTCAAGTGATTCTCCTGCCTCAGCCTCCCAAGTAGCAAGGACTACAGGCACCTGCCACCATGCCTGGCTAATTTTTGTATTTTTAGTAGAGGCCAGGTACCGCCATGTTGGCCAGGCTGGTCTTGAACTCCTGACCTCAGGCGATTCGCCCATCTCGGCCTCCCAAAGTGCTGGGATTACCGGTGTGAGCCACCACACCCAGCCTAGAACAGTTTCTTTTGTGTCCTTTTTTCTTTTCTTTGTGTGTCATTTGTTAGTTAAGCACTTTATATACTCTATTTCCAGGCAACATAATTGGGTATTTAATAAACGCTGCTTGACTCTGATAGGGGTGGGGTTATGGTCACTGTTTGTTTCAGGACTGGTAGCAGGTAAGATGTTTGTAAGCTGTGGTAGGTGGTCCCTCTGAAGGGAAGGGGCAGTGGTTAAGGGGGAGTCTCAAGGCACCACAGTCTGATAAAGCACATCTTAACAGTGGCAAGTCAGAAGGTTGAGGAGAGATGTGAAAGTTCTGATGGAGGAGAAATTATTTTTAAAAATTTTATTCAAACTTATTAAACTGAGTCAGGAAGTAGAATTGTTGTTTGTATGTACATAGGTATATTTTACCAGAATGGATGTTCTATTCAGAGTTTCAGGTGATGGACAGAACTTGATAGGAATTACTAGCAAGCAATATAATCTTCTGCCTTTGCAAGCCAACTTAATAAAAACCAATTACTTGTCTATATTTCATTGATTACAAAATATTTTTATACAGCATAATAATATGAAGTCACTAGCATTTCTTTAGTATTTACCATAAAAGAGGCATGGTGCTGTGATAACTGATCACAGTGCTTTAGTCAATGAATATCATGAACCCTCCAAACTGCTGGTCCTGTTTATCTTCTTTTTGGCATTGCCCCTCTCCACTGCACCCCACCACCCCACTCTACTCTCTCACAAAAGATAAAAGATTAGATTTCATTTTTTAAAGAGAACTTGCTCCACATTCCAGCCACATACATGGAGTCAAAAGTGGCATAGTACATAAAATATTTTCATTGTGTCGGTTGCAATGAACCATATATTCTAAATTTAACCAACTGGAAAAAAAAGTGTAGCATTTGCTAGGTCTCAGAGTGGTTGAATAATGTCTAATCTGCTGGGTCTATGTTCCAGGGAAAAAGGTTCTGTTGTAACTTACATCAGATCTCCCTGGGAAGTTGTCTTGATCATTTTCATCATTATTGTTACTGTTTCTTTGGATGTTTAAAAGCAAGGGAAAAAGTTAATTATGATTGAGTTTAATATCTTTGAAACTAAAGCAATATTCACTTCAGGGGCAATAAAGACAAATAGCAAAATTGGCACTGCTAGGACTGTTACCAGTTTTCATGCATGCTGATGTTTTTGCTGCATGGATTGACATTTAAGATGATATGATGGGACCAGCCCATGCAAGGAGCCCTTGCACATGACTGCACATGTTTATGTGCCACGTGCTTACAGATTAGAAATAATTATTTTACCAAGCCCTGTTACTTGACACAGGGATAAGATAATTTGGCTAATATGTCCATTGTAGGATCTTGAAATTCCCATGAATTGTGATAGTGATTGATAAACCAGTTCTGTGACTGTCTTAGTTCAGGCATTTCTAACAAAATACTATAAACGGGATAGCTTATAAATAACAGAAATTTATTTCTCACAGTTCTAGATGCTGGGAAGTCCAAGATCAAGGCACCCACTCGTTAGCTGTCTGATGAGGGCCCACTTCCTGGTTCATCAGTGGCTGTTGAACTCACTGTAACCTCACATGGCAGAAGGGGCAAGGCAGCTCTTGGGGTCTCTTTTATAAGGGCACTAATCTTATTCATGGGGCTCCACCCTCATGACCTAATCATCTCCCAAAGGCTTCACCTCCAAATATCATCACACTGAGGGAACAGGAAAATTTTAGGGGTAGAAACATTTAGACTATCACAGTGACTAAAGAAGAAAGCAAAACTTTTGTTTCTTTTTCCTTCTTCAATAGCTTGACAGTGAAGTTGAAAAGACAGCAAATCTTGTCCTTAGCAACTGGAATCAGCAAATTAAGGCAAGTATCCACAAATATCATTTGTGTAAACTCAGTTTTTAGAAGTGAAGTGTTTTGCTTTCATACAATTGTGGTGGCATGTTCTAACATGTGTACTTCTAACTGCTAACTGAAGAGAAAAATGTTTCCTTACCTGAGTTATTACATAGATATATTTTTCACCCAAACCAATGGAAGTGCATGGCTCTAAATATGATTATTTAGCACTTATGTGCTAAGTGCTATATATTTATTTATTTAATCATCACGACAACCCAACGTCATATGTCATTGTGCATTGCCCCATTTTACAGATGGAGAAATGGAGACACAGAGAGTTTAAGTAATTTGCTCAAGGTTACAGAGTTGGTTAATGGTTTAACCAATGGTTGTCACAAGTTGAGTTTCAGGTTCACTGCTCTTAATTATTACATTATACTGACTGCCTTTCTGAATAATTTGTAACTTACAGCAAATGACAAACACTGCCTGAGTTTTATTTTTTTCATTTGTAGAAAGGTGTTAGTGATCTCTACATCACCAGTGAGAGTGGCCCAGTGAGGGATGGGTAGTGATCTGTAAAAGGGGACGTGTGTATCAATTTCATGAGTATATGAGGTCCACTTTTTGTGCACAGCACTATACTAAGACATGATTTTTTTTTCAAGTAATTTAAAGTTTAGTTGTCTAGATGACATACGTGCAGGAAATAGGGAATACATTCTAAAGAGAGGAATTATGATCTGGTGTGGGAAGCTAGCATATATCAGTATGAGTTCTTAAGCAGAGAAAATAACAGATGGGATCCATATGCAGAGAATATTCTAGAACAATGTAGTATAGAAGGAATTCATTTCAGGTAGAAAGAACTAGCAGTAAATCTGCTAAGAAGATTCAATGAACCCCTCTGAGAAGACCTGTTCTCTAAGAGTTGAAATCGTTTTTCATCTCCAAAGTGTTAGTGCCCACAGAGAACCTTTACAAGTAAATAGCCACTCATGCCAAATAACTAGAGATAGGCACCCTCAGAAACAGGCGAACTTGGTGTTACCAAGTTCCACCTCCCAAACAGGCCAAATCCACCTCAAACCAAATTTTGTTTGCTTAATTTATCTCTGGAGCGTCATCCTCAGCCAAATTCAACTATGTAGATTAGGAAATGATCCCCTAACTCCTAACCCACTTCAAGGTGTCAGCATGAACAGGGTAGGGAGACTCTGAGCATGCCTTCCTTCCCCACTTCTTTCTACTTCTCTGACTCCAGCAAGTGCAGGGCATTTCACAAGATGCCAGGCAAATGCCCGGCTCTCAGGCTTGGGCATCGGGAAGCAGAATTGCGACCCTTGCTGCAAGTTTTAAGAGAACATCTTAAAACAATCTCAGTTGTGCCCCAGATTGATGTAAAGAATGATGCAGGCAGTCTTCTGTGTTTGCTGTGATATTTTTTGTGGTAAAGCCATTATGTTCACTAGAACATTATTTTGGAGGCTTGCAGGCCTTCAATGATTTAGCAAAATGCATAACCCTCTTGAGGGTACCTGATATAATGAAAAAATATGCAGGAGTTCTCAGGACAAAGTGTTAGCTGCTCTGATGTTTTAGGTACATTTTGAGGTGAGGATGGGAATGAAGAACTAAAAATACACATTTTTTTTAGACTTTGGAGGATTCTAGGATACATAATCATTTAAGCTAGCATATGAATGTGCTTTGTTCCAAAAGAGAAGAAGAGTTTTCTCTAGGTATTAGCTTCTGTTCCTTTTTTTCTTGTTTGCATGTTTTTTACTTTAGGCCAAGAAGAAATTAATGATTAGTACCAAGAAACATGAAGCACTTTTCCAGCTTGTAGAAAGCTCCAAGCAATCTGTGACTGAGAAGGAGAAGCGGAAGGTAAGCTGTCATGGCTGGCTGGGCACATGTGGCATAAGACGGATGGACTTGCTGCCCTTAGCTACGAACACAAGAGAACGGGTTGATTCCTCCTTCTCTGGGATGCCTGCAGAGATGTAGCTTGATAGAGCATTAAAGGGGATTCTAAATCATTCCTGGCGTGTGTGCATACATACACACACACACATACACATATATAAAACTTTTTCATTTTGATTTTTTTTAAAGAGAAGGGATCTCACTGTGTTGCCCAGGCTGGCATCAAAGTTCTAGGCTCAAGGGATCCTCCCACCTCAGCCTCTCAAGTAGCTGGAACTACAGAAGTGTGCTACTATGCCTGGCCCACATATATTTTTAAAAAAATATTATTGACAGATGACAAATGAGACCAATAATGCCCAAATTTTTTGAACAGGAACTCCATTAATATTATCTTTAAAAACCTCTCAACTAATAGCCTAAATAAGTAAAAAAAAAAAAAAATACATGTGTTGTTTGTTACATATAGTACTTTACGTATTATGTTAATATGTTATGAATATTATAAAGCATAGAGGTAGAGATGTTTGCAGGTTGAGATAAAGATGAAATAATATTTTAAATGATTAGCAAACCATGATGGCTTTAGATAATCATTAAGTAATGTTTTCAGGCAAAATACATACTTGGAACAAGGTTCAGCCTTAACCATAGTAAATTTAAATGTATATTTCTAATAGTCTTCTTGAAAATATATATATATATATATTTTAGAAAGAATCTCACTATGTGGCCCAGGCTGGAGTGCAGTGACACAATCTTGGCTCACTGCAACCTCTGACTCCTGGGCTCAAGTGATTCTCCCACCCCAGCCTCCCAAGTAGCTGAGACTACATGCTTAGCTAAATTTTTTTGTATTTTAATAGAGACAGGGTTTCATCATGTTGGCCAGGCTGGTCTCAAACCCCTGACCTCAAGTGATCTGCCTGCCTTTGCCTCTCAAAGTACTGGGATTACAGGCATGAGCCAACTGTGCCCAGCCAGCCTTCTCAATAATTTTTAATTTGTTTATCAAAATTTTTGTCAGATCTCATTTCAGTGTTTGCCCTTTCACATGGGTAGTGACACACTCACAACGAGGAGAGGTGGCAGCATCAGCTCTGACATTTTCCTGTGGATTCTTTGCAGTTAAATTGGTAGTAGTAACATCAATCTACAGCTTCTTGGCAGAAATCTTCTAAGATATTTGTGCATTTTGTGTATGTTAACCTAATTGGAGCCAGATAATGTCTGTAAAACCACATGGCTCAGGTATATGTCAATGGTCACATGTTCCAGATGTTGGAAGGGAGGACGCAGTCGGGGCCTAGGGCAGTTTTTCAGGTTGCAGGATCCCCAGCCTTCTCCAGGCTATATCAGAATCCATAACTGTCCACGTGTGAGCACCAGTGTAGACTCATATATTAAATAAGAGTAAGCTTGACAACTGTGTTTTTAGGCAAAATGAACACAAATAATATTGGGGTGCAGGAATAAAGATTTTCTGTTCACACCCCAATAGATTATCTTGCACATCTCTTTTGGTATGTGCCCCAGTTGAAAACCTTTGAAAGAGTCAATATCTTCCCCAAAAGACAAGTCCCCCCTAAGGAAATGCAACCAGCACTACTGTAGCCCCTTAAGAGGAATAGAAAATTGTCATTGCAAGTAGCTCTTTCATTTCATCTGAAGAAATATCCATTGAATAACTTAATTTCATTGTTAGCAAGATTTTACAAGATTCTTATTTCTTTCCATGTCAATCTTCACAGTTGGAAATGATCATAACAAGTATTGAATAATGAGACAGCTTCCAGGGAGGCGAACCCGCAGTCTGTTAAAATACTCAGTGCCAGGACCTGCCAAGGCATTCTGAGCACTCATTAGAAGATATTCTTTATTGATGTCATGCAATATTAAAGAAAAAAGTATGGCAGCTAAGTAGTGAATTCTCTCTTCCTACCCTCATCAGCAGATTCCCTGGGAATAAAGGTCTACAGTGCTCTCTCCCCTCCTCCAGCTGTTAACCATAACCTTGGCTGTACTGTCACAAACCCATGCCATCTTCACTGCTTAATCTGGCAGCTTTTGTTAATCCTGAAGCTGAACATCCAAGAGGGGGACATTCGTTTTCTCATCTCACATAGAAGCACTCATGATCACCTGAGCTGATGCTCTGTGCTGCTCAGCAAATTCTTCCTGGTTTCCTGCCCAGCAGTCTTGGTTCTCACCAGAAGCTGATCTAAACCTCCGTTCTCCTCACACCTCCATCCACGCACTCCTGGCACAGTATCTTGCCTCCTACCTCACAGAGTAAATAGAAGTCAGCACAGCCACCTGCCTACTGAAGTAATAGCATTTACATATCTGCAGTGGAGAGGCCAGTTCTCCACCCTGTGCTGTAATCTCATTCCATCCTGCCTCTCAGAGGCCCTCTCTTGATTATCCCATATTTCCCATGTCTTGGACAGCACCCTCCCTAATGATTCTCCCCACCAGGCTTCTATAACTATCTGTCTTATAGTCTGTTCAGGCTGCTATAACCAAGTTCTATAGATGGTGTGGCTTCAACAACAGACATTCTGGAAGTGTGGGATCAGGGTGCTATCTGGGGAGGCCCCCTGTTTCAAGCTGCAGACTGGCTACTTCTCATTGCATCCTCACATGGTGGGAAGACAGCAAGGGAGCTCTCTGGGGCCTCTTCTAAAAGGGCACTAATCCCATTCATGAGGTTTCCACCCTCATGACATGATCTGGTGGCAGGGGAGCACAAATAGTCTACTGCACCTTCTCCCCATCTTGGAAGAGTAAAGAAAGTTGCAGGGTCACATTTTTATGGGGTTTCCCGTTCCTCTCCAGATATTGTCATGTCTTCTTTTTAGAATACATCTTAGTGAAAGGGGTGTCTGCTCTGTCCCCACTTTCTCATCTTCTGTTCACTTTTCAAATCACCCTAATCAAGCTTTTCCCATCTTTCCACTAAGAGTATTCTTGCTATCAAAAACAATGTCTTCCCATTGCTAAAGCCAATAGGTACTGTCCAAGTCTTACCTTAGTTATTGGCAGTATTACGCATTGTTTATTTCCCCTTTCTAGAAACGTTCTCTTCTTTTATCCTTATTAACACCTCATGATTTTGGCTTTCCTACTACTTTCTGTAAATTTTAGATTAGATATCCTTATGGGTTCTCCTTTTTGGTCTGATCTTTATATATTGCAGTTTCTGAAGATTTCTTTCCCGGGCCTCACTCTGTTGTCTTCACCATTGTCTCTCCAGTATCCGATACAGCACTCTCAATATCAGTTACTCCATAAACAATATGCACACAATAAGTATATTCTCAAGGCTTCAACTATAGTATCTATGCTGGCAGTAGCCAAATTTATACCTCCAGCCCAAACTAATCTGTAAACTGCTTTCTGACACCTCAAATTCAATATCCGAAATCCAACCATCACTTCTCTCTGCCAAAGATAATCTTTATTCCTGTGTTCTCTATGTCTTTGAATATCACCACCCACCATATCCTCCCAATTCCAACTCAAACCAAACACGTCAGTGGTGTGATCTCTGCTCACTGCAGCCTCCGCCTTCCAGTTTCAATCAGTCTTCTTGCTTCAGCCTCCCAAGTAGCTGGGACTACAGGCGCCCACCACCACGCCTGGCTAATTTTTGTATTTTTAGAAGACACAGTGTTTCACCATGTTGGCCAGGCTGGTCTTGAACTCCTGACCTCAGGTGGTCCACCCGTCTTGGCCTCCCAAAGTGCTGGGATTACAGGCGTGAGTCACTGCACCCGGCCCAGAGAGGGTCCATTTTAATGGCCTTTGTCTCTGTCCTTGAAAATCCTAAACTGCTAAGTCAGGGGGTCCTTAATGTTTTTCAAAGAATGATCTGAAGACCATTGCATCAGAGCCATCTGAGGATCTGTAGTCAAAATTCAGATTTTCTAATCCTACTACAGATGTACGAAATAAGCATTGCTACTTGTAGAACCCTGGAATCTCCAATTTTACTAGTACTTCAGGTTATTTCTAGACATAGTAAAGTTGGAGAATTGGTTGGGTGCGATGGCCCACACTCGTAATCCTAAAACTTTGGGAGGCTGAAGTGAACAGATAGCTTGAGCCCAGGAGTTGGAGGCCAGACTGGGTAACATGGTGAAACCCTACCTCTGCAAAAAATACAAAAATTAGCCAGGTGTGATAGTACATGCCTGTGATCCCAGCTATTTGGGAGGCTGAGGTGGGAGCACTGATTGAACCTGGGATGGGGATGTTGCAGTGAGCCAGTGAGCCATGATTGTGCCGCTGAACTCCAGACTGGGTTATAGAGTCAGAAAGAAAAAAAAGAGAAGAAGAGAAGAGAAAGGAGAGAATGGGAGGGGAGGGAAGGGGAGGGGAGGGGAGGGGAGGGGAGAGGAGAGGAGAGAAAAGAAAGAAATCAAATGCTTTATATATATATATATATATATATACACACACACACATATATATATTACATATATATATATATATAGTTGAAGAATAATTCAACTTTATTTCTCAGAAACATGAAATCACTTGTCTGAGCATTTTGAAAATCAATTTCAGCTACCCTGGCCCAGGGAGTTTTGTATTACCGTACATTGATTTTTCCAGAAGATTTAGTAATCAGAATGACAAATTTTGGTGATTGGCAAGAGGTGGCTCTTTGGAAGGGAGCAGATCACTGGGGAGCAGGATGAGAGGAAACCATCTATCAAGCTGCCCATAAGTTGGTGAACACTGGGCATGTATCTCAGGCTTTTCACTGGCAATAATTACACATGCTAAATTTGGAGTGCTATGCCAGGTGTAGGGCAGTATGCAATGTGCCGTATGTGTGCAACCTGTATCAGGGCCAAGGGGAAACTTCCCTTTTGTCCTCTGAAGGTTGGCTAAAAACCACTGACTAGAGGCAGATGAACGGGAGAAAAGGCATACAAATGCATTTGATCACAGTTCTATGTGATGTGGGAGCTTCAGAACAAAGATCCAAAGACAGGGGAACTTGTCTACATTTATGCTTAGGTTTAACAAAGTATGGACATCCATGTAGAAATATTATTGTACAAAAGAGGTGCAATCGAATGCTAATAGGCTGAGTGGGGAAACCCAGCAAGGCTCTCTTTCTAGACTCTTCTTGGCCTCTCTGTGCAGCCTTCCTTCCTGCTGGGTATGGGGCAGGATCTCTGGAATAGGGATCTTATGACCTACA